GATTTTCTTACCAAATTTTGACTGCTGTGTGAGGTTTGAGGAGTGGAGGGAAATGAGAGCGCTATATGAACAGTGATTTTAGGGCACAAATCCCTAGGAGACTAATTGGACTAGAAAATTGGGCTGCAGGGATTTTTCATAATTGGGCCTAACTAATTTGGGTTGAAATGCTTTCGATTTGGGCTTATTTAGTTGAGTTTATAGAATTGGACTTTAAGTAATTAGACTTTAGACAATTATATATTCATCACTTAGATTTACTAAAATTCGGATTTAAACAAAATAATAAGAAATGGATCCTTTATAATTATTCGAAAATGAATTCGATTTGAAAATTTAAATTCGTTTATAACGGCTAGACGAACGCGTTTTCACTTTAACGTTAGGGTTTAAAATTTAGCGACACATTTTTCGAGAAAAATAATTTTATAAAATCTAAAGTTCTTGGTCGCTACACTTAGAGCACCAAGGCACCAAGTTTTCACCAATGTAAACACAATATCCAGCCGTAGACCTTCTATCATCTGGACAAGATGCCCAGTCTGAATCTGCAAAGGCCGTGATATCTGAACACCCTTTTAAGTGCTTTCCAATGAACATCCGTAGGTACTTGAAGGAATTGACTTAACTTGTTCACAACATAAGTTAAGTCTGGTCCGGTATGAATAAGGTACTGGAGACCACCAATTGCACTTCTGTAGGGAGTGGGATCTTTCAATTCTAGTCCTTCAGTTTTAGAAATTGGCTTTCCTACTGCCATAGGTGTAGGACTAGGCTTTAGGTTTTCATAACCAAACCTCTTTAGTAATTCAGTCGCATATCTGGTTTGCTTCAAGCTCAATCCAATATCATCTCTTTTGACTTCAATTCCCAGAAAGTGCTTCAAGTTCCCCATATCCTTAAGTGCAAAACTGATGTTTAGCTTGTCTATAAATTCTTTCATCTGCTGAGTGTTAGTACCTGCAATCACTATATCATCCACGTATATTAATGCAAAGAGAACATCAGTTCCATTTGACAGAAAAAATAGAGAGTTATCAGCCTAAGATTGAGTGAAGTTCCATTGCAGTAGAGTATGCTTCAGTTTATCATTCCAAGCTCTAGGTGCTTTTCTTGAGTTTGCAGTCATGGTTAGGGTGTTTTTCATCAACAACACCCTGTGGTTGGTACATGAAATCAGCCTCAGTTATGCTTTCGTTCAAGAAGGCATTATTAATGTCTATAGTATGCTTCAGTTTATCATTCCAAGCTCTAGGCGCTTTTCTTGAGTTTGCAGACATGGTTAGGGTGTTTTTCATCAACAAAACCCTGTGGTTGGTACATGAAAACAGCCTCAGTTATGCTTTCGTTCAAGAAGGCATTATTAATGTCTACTTGCCTGATTTCCCAGTTCCTTGATACAGCAAGAGTTAGGATGACTTTTAGTGTTGCAGCCTTGACTACCGGACTGAAAGTTTCGTTAAAATCGAAACCAGGGGTTTGGAGAAAACCTTTAGCCACTAGTTTGGCTTTGTGTCTTGAGATTTTTCCATTTGTATCATATTTTAACTTGAATACCCATTTTTTGCTGATGATCTTCATTCCAGCTTCAGGTGGGATTAAAACCCATGTTTCATTTTCCATAAGAGCATTATACTCGTCGTGCATAGCATCCTTCCAACACTTGCTTCTGAGTGCTTCATCTACACTAGTTGGCTCAGATGAATCCAGTTTATCCACAGTCAAGCTAGTGTAAATTTTTGGCTTGAAAGTACCTACTTTGCTCCTAGTAACCATTTGATGTCCAGTATTCTAAGGTAAATTTCTGTCTGATGAACCCGTGTCATTTGCTACATTCAGTACCTCAGTGGCAATCTTTGGCATTTCATTTCCTGTTATTGTCTCTTGGTGCCCTTGATCACAGGGATATTCCTCTAATTCCTCTTCAATCTCAACCTCTGATACTCCATTGTTGAGTCCTGCTGCAGGGGTGATTTCAGGCTGTATTGCATCAGCTGTAGTTTTGCCTTGGGGGAAAGTGTTATAGCTGGGATCAATAAAAGGGAGATAACATATCCTGGTATCACAGACTTGAGGTTGAGTTTGTTTGTTTAGAAAGCCAGTTTTAAAGGGTAATTCCAGTTCATTGAAAGTGACATGTTTGGAGATATAAACTCTACCACTAGGACTCAAACATTTATAACCTTTGTGTGAGTCACTAAGACCAAGGTAAACATATTTTATAGAATGGAAACTAAACTTATGTCTTTTATAAGGTCTGAGATAAGGGAAACATGCAGAGCCAAACGTTTTGAGTTGATTAAAATCGAAAAGTTTATTGTAAAGGGTATGGTAAGGTGATCTGTGATCTATCACTAAAGTAGGTAGTCTATTAATCAGATAAGTGGCAGCCTTGAAGGACTCCCACCAATTATAAAGTGGCATTTGGGCTTGAGCTAGAAAAGTTAACCCAACCTTTGTTATGTGTCTATGCTTGCGTTCAGCCCTTCCATTTTGAACAGAGGTATAAGAGCAGGAATGTCTAAGCTCTATGCCAGATTCTATAGCAATTTTGCTGAAGGTTATAAACTCTCCACCTCCATCAGATTGAAGGCATTTGATTTTCATGTCAAACTTATTTTCTACAAGTTTTTTGAACTGAGTAAAGGTAGGCAATGCTTCAGATTTGTGTTTCATAGGGTAGATCCATGTAAAGCGACTGTAATCGTCAACAAAAATTATATAATATCTGAAACCTGTGGTAGATCTTAAAGGGGCTGGTACCCAGACATCAGCATGAATAAGTTCCAGAGGCTTGGCAGCATGCGAAGATGAGTTTTGAAAAGGGAGAGCATGTGATTTTCCAAGTTTACAAGAATCACAGAAAGAAGAGTTTTCATTGAATTTAATGACTCGATTACAGGACTTAAAAACTTGACTCAACACTTGATTTGAAGGATGTTCTAGCCTTCTATGCTAAAGGGTAAGATTTGACTCTGAAGTTGATTTAACTGAGGACTGATTATTTGGACTAGACTCTGTTGTAAGACACTGTAAGTTGTTTTGATAGCTTGGCTCGAGGTTGATTCTTTCTGGCTTGAGATTAGGCAAATGCAGCTTGTACAATCCATCTTTAATCGTTCCTTGCAGCAAGGTCCTCTTCGTTTGGAGATCCTTCACAACACAGTAATTTGAATAAAATTCCAAGAAAACACTATTGTCACTTGTGAGTTGAGAAACACTTACCAGATTTTTTTTGATTAAGGGAACATGTAACAGGTTATTTAGACTGAGTGATTTATCATTTAGTGCAGAGAATTTCGTATTACCAATATGAGCAATGTGTAACATGTCACCATTACCAACACGTGATTTCTCTTTACCTTCATACTTCATCACAGTATTCATGTTACCTTTGTCGGTTGTCACATGATTACTAGCCCCAGAGTCAACAAACCATGATGGATCCTCAAGGATTCTAGGATAGGCTACGTAGGCTGATGGTGATGCATTAAAGCTCTGCTGTCCAGAGTTAACTGGTTTTCTCCCCATATAGGTTTCATCAAACCTGTTATAGCGATAGCTTGCTGAGTGATTGCTTAATCCACAAATTTGACAGGGCCCTCTAGCTTCATTTGAACGACCAAGTGCAGTTCTGCCTCTTCCTCTTGTTCTTCCTCTATAGTTTGGTAATCTGCTACGGCCGGCTCCTCTAATTCCTCTACCAAAACAAGGGCCAGCTCGATGTGCTAACTGGACACTTGAGTGGTTAACATTGAGAGAGGTGAAGCTGTTTCTGCTTGATTTAAATGCTCAAGTCGACTTTCAAAAGTCATAAGTACCGAAGATAACTCATGCCAGGATATTATTTCCCTACTGCTTATCTGAACGACTATAGGAGTGTATTCCTCATCCAATCCGGATAGAACTTGTGTGATCAAATCACTCTGATCAATGAGTTTCCCCGCTATTTCTAGGTTGTCCGCCAACTGTTTGATGGTGGTTAAATATTGATCCATTGTCATTGTTTCTTTCCTGGTTCTTAGTTCACCAGTGAGGAACATTACACGCGATCTATTCAATATGCCAAAACTTTCCTCAACAGCTATCCATAGTTTACTTGAGCTCATACAGCCCATAACCTTCATAGCTATGTCTGGGGTCATAGAGGAATAAAGCCACTCCATAAGGAGTTGATCAACTGAGACCCATTTCTGAAACTCTGGATTGAGAGTCATTTCAACTGCTTTACCCTGGCCAACAGTCGTTTGGGTAGCTAAGAACTCCTGTGGACACTGCCTTGTCCCCAGTAAAAATCCTTCTAGATTGTGCCCTCTGATTATGAGCATGATCATGTTTTTCCATAGTAAAAGTTGTTTCTGTCTAATTTTACTGAGGGTGTTTGAGTGATGTTCATTCCATGGGATGAAGAGTGGCCAGGCTAAGTAGCTGGAGCTGTATTGAGCTCAGTCGGATTCGACTGGTTGCTTGAAATAGTGTTTACCATTTTTGTTGGCTCTGATACCAAGTGAAAGAACTAGATAATATGATTGTTATTTCTATAGTTATGATCAATAAGGATACAAGGAATTTATAGAGAGTTAAGAAACTTCTGGAATAATACAAATAACAAGCTTAACTAACCTACCAGCTGGCTAACAAATCAGATTCTATTTCCTAAATATCAGGAGTAGCAATGTGCTAGTGTCTGCTGCAACAGATAAATCGTGTGCCTTCACCTGATGAATTCTAACTAAGTGCGCTACAAGCATTTCTATAAGAACATTCTATTGGGAATAGAATTATTAAAGTTATTGCAAATAGAATGATCAAATATGTGTAATCATTTTGATCCTGGATTTGGACTTGAATAGCCGAGATTAATTTATAACGGAATCTTATAACAAAGGTAAGTGTTTGTTTCATTTGGATGCATGTTCGTGATTAATATTGCTTTCAACCAATATAGTCATTAAGAGAGTTGTACTCACCAGTAAAATATTATCCTCTGTGGCTTGTACTCACCAGTAAAATATTATCCTCTGTGGCTTTTGCCCAGTTGCCTTTCTGAAAGAAACCAAAAGATCCCTGTAGAAAGAGAAAAAAAGGTATACAGAATATAAATACAGAAGTAATACGACAATTCCCCATTAAAGGTAAAACACAAAAAATAAAATAAATGAAAGAGAAGAAAATTATGAAGTGAATTTAAGCTAGCAAAATGTAAGGCTTAGCAAATTTTCTTACCGGATCATGCCACCACTAACTGCTCCACGGATAGGGTCATGCCATGCCTTGTATAAATCTTGTGTGAGTTCTTGTCTATGAGCTTGAGCACAAACCAGTCCTGCATATTTAGTGACCTCTGGCCAATCTTGAGAAGCTACAACCTGATGTTTAGAACAAAAAACTTTATTCAATCTGACATGATATGGTCTTAAAAAGATGCTCCAATAAGAAAACTTCAGTGGAGGAACTTTACAACAGCTACTGATGGGCTGGAGTCCTCTCCATTCTCCGGGTGAGTCACATCTGCCCCGAATATGATAGTGGGTATATCACTAACCAATGGTATTCTATAGCTTATGGCATCCAAGAGAACAGTGTTTCTGCCACCCATCTGCTCAACGTATATTAATTCAGAAGTGAAAATCTAATACTTAGATGTAAAGCAAGTAGGTTTTAGAATGATTAAACTGTTATCCATGATTCAAATGAGATAACATGTTAGTGAACCGGAAAAAAATTCTGTAAAATCTAAAGGCATGCCATGAATGATCCAACAATCAATTTGTACCTTGACATTTATCTTCAAGGACACATTAGACAAATATTGCTTGCTAATCTTGAAGACGTATTTTGTAAGACGGCATTGTGATATCAAGCCTAGATCAGTTTCACATATTCGCTTCAGATCACTTATCACCAAAGAATCGGATATAAGTGAATGTTAATTCACAAAAAATGATGGTTTTTGTATCTAAACCTGAAAACCAATTTCATATTTGGGCAGCATACCATACAAGGACCCGTTATTGTCAGGCAAAATGGCTAACACAAGATCCAATTCTTTTCCTTTTAGTTTGTTCATACATGCATGATAAACCTGCTTCAAAGCTTTCTCTACTTGCTCAGGCCTTGCTGGGTAGATTGGAATGACAGGTTCCGGATTGAATTCCTTAAAGATGATAGGAAATTAGATAATGGAATACAATACACAAACATGTGCACACAAAAGAAAGAATAAAATGTAGAGAAAAGAAGGAAATTCTACCATGCCAGATACTTGACACATCTGAACCAGTTCACTGCAAAACCCACGAGCGACACTCTCTTGGACACTGCGTGAAAAGTTGATACATGCCCAACGGCTAACAGTCATCCCATTGATCATTTTCTGTGCACGTGAAAATCACAATTGAGATTCAAAAGCTAGTTGAGGAATAGGTATTAGTATTTTCATATCCCTGAGGAAAAAAGGGAAAAGAATTGTAACTTTGACATGTAAAAGGAAAGGAAAGCAAAAACAGTTGTGTCAAAATTCAAAATCCCATTTCCAAATGATATAGTTTTAACCAATAAAAAGGACATAGATCTACGACAGTCCCATTGAAGATTAACAGAATTTCATGACACGAAAACATGTACGTTTTTTACCCTTAATGAATGTGGTTAAAACATTTGTATTTCGAAAATCATTTAAAATTAGATAATTTAAATAAATGACTTTAGGAAATTGACTTTTTGAAGACATGACTATAAAAAAAAAGGAAAAAAAATCTCCTTTCTGTACATAAGATCTCTTAAACCTATCATAAAGATGAAGGCTGGAAAGAACAACATAAACAAGGAAATATGATGGAAATATAATTTCGTACACTAAGAAATTCGTATAGTAACAACTTCACTTTCAAGAATCGTAGAAAGTTATGATAAATTATTTTAATATGAAATACATACTTAATGATATGAAGAAACGAAATTGGTCCTAGACAACCAGGACTTTAGAGAAGCTAGAAAAAGAAGTTTGATCAATTTACAGAAAGGAAAAAAGAATATTTTTTAAACAAAAATCACCAAGAAATAGAACAGATGTTGAAATAAACACAGAAATAGAACATGAAAATAAGTAAAAACCTGAAAATCAAAATTCAGGTGGCTGTCTCTTACCCTGGGTAGAGCGAAAAACTCTCCAATCGAGTTATTGAATTTGTTTTAGGTGGCTGTCAGTGTCCCGTCTCTCCTACATGAAAGAAGCCATGCTGTCATAAAAATTTATAAATTTGGTTACATATTTCTAACACTGATTACAAGGACCGTGGCAATATCTATAAGTTTAAAGGTCCATCAACCATTCTCTTGATACAATTAATTCCTTCTTTTTTTTTCTTTTTTTAGATGGAAAAACTTTCAAAGAAGAATTCAACGGCCTTGATCACTATAAGGTTTTAAAGAAACAGAGGCACCTCGAAAATTGCAAACATTACTATAACAAACAGACTATTAAAGCACAATTTTGTTAAGAACGGAAATCAATTTCGTCAAAAAAAAAACAAAAAAAGAAAAAACTAAAATAAGAACCGAAAGAGCTTAATTTGAGCAGCAAATGAAAACTTTAAAAGGAAGTAGCAATCTTACAACTACACTCATGTAAAGAAAAGGAACGGTTCGTTACCAAAGAAGTGTAAGCATAATTTATTAAAAGGAATATTAAAAAATCAACAAAAACCATCAATTTACGCTATGAAATTCGTATAGTAACAACTTCAC